GGGAAATCGCCGTTTGCAAGTTGGTTCGGATACCATTGATTAGGTCAAGAATTGAGAAGAAAAGACAAGTGCCACAGTCTAGCTCAGATCTGGAGTTTCGATAGCAGTCGGCAAAAGTACAAATGAGGTATCATCAAGGAAACAATCAAGAATCGATCTCATTAGAACTATGAACGACTGTCACAAAATCAACGCTCATACATATCTCTTCCTCAAATTAGTCCTCCTGCTCATAATCCAACACCATTGGTCCTTAAGTTGGCAGTACTCGAGCTGTCGGAAGGCTCAATCGTCTGATGAATCGTCGTCTCTCTCAGAATCTCTCGTCCTTCTGGGGAGCCTGAGCGCGTCTTGTCGTCGTTTCGAATCATTTCCAATTCATCGAGCTCTTCATATGGCGTTCTGGGTGTTCTCATACTGTTCTTCCCACCAATACGTCGTGATGATCCGTACTCGTAAGAATCGTTTCCTGTCGTAATGGGCTTGGGGAAGAAATGCACCCAGATTGGCCGGAGTGTTGGGAGACAAGCGCAAACAATGGCCAGCGACAATTCAATGTTGGTCCAGAAGAAAACGGGGGCGGTGTAATCTTATGTCATCGTCAGAGAAGGAGCTGGAGTTGATCAGTCCAAGTGTGACTTACAGATGACATCGTTAGGATGCTTGACATATTCTTCGGCGATAGCAAAAGTAGCTACCACTCTCGTGACACTCACGGCACAGACGCTACATTTTTGTCAGCAACATTTTTCCTTCCCAACGACATTGGAAAACTTACGCAGCGCCAAGCCCTAGCATTGCGATGACTGCAAGTTTCTTCTTGAGGGGCATCTGGACTTTGAGAACCATCGCGACAGGTAGTACGAGGATGACAAAGTCGGCAATGACGTCGGTGAATAGAAGCGCGAGGAACATCGGTACCGTCTGAACACACGAGTTGCCATAGTAGGGCTCGATGAACACCGTGATGGGGAAACAAGTAAAGAGATGGGAGAAGAAGAAGCTGACCGTCCATCCGATCACAAAGGCTAGTACCCCAAAGACGACGTAGCGAAACCTTTGGCTTGGGAAGAGGGTGTAATACAACACGAGAATAGATGATTTGACGAGCCCTAAGCCCAGGATTGAAATCATGTTAAGTGCAAACTTTGTCTGATGTGCGAAAAGCTTGTTAGCTATGTGCCAGATGCGACGCCGGCGAGCTGGAGAGACAAAGTCACCTCTTCGAAGAATATCAACCCCGGATCATCCATAATTGGGGAGCCGTCGGGGAACGTGGGCTGATGTTGTCCCAAATGACCGTGAATTGCAGCTTGCCTTCGCGTCAGTTCCTTCTTCTTGCTAAGTGATCATGGAAATTCCAGACATACTAGCTAGTTGCAGAGTACAGCAGGTGATTGATACCAGCTGTTCAAAGGAGACACCGGTCAGCATTTGATATCATCTAACCAATGGCTCCAAGCTCCATCTGTAGACTTACCAGCGCTGCTCCGGTTAGGTAGTCGTCCCACGCAAACCTTTTGACGAGTAGCTTCGCCCAGACGCGAAGTCCATAAAATACTGTGGGAATGACCATAAACCCAATTGCCAGGCCGATCATCTGACCCTTGGTGTAGTCATGGTTCATCGTCACCATGCTGGGCGACTTGAGACCGTTTGCGCGATGTCAAAAACACAAACTTCTGCCGAATTTCGATCGCCGCCGCCGCAAGATGGTCGGGAAAAGTTGAGGCTGCAAGCAAGGAGCGCGTATTCAATCTGCACAGCAGGCAGTCCAAATGCGGGAATGTCACTGGAGATGCTGAGAGATATGTATCACAAAGATCTGAGGGGTCATCCTGTTCATGATGATAGCGGAGGTGCAGTGAAGAAAGTGCAGATTGTCACAGTCGCCTTCCCGCGAGAGACAACCTTTTCCCTTCCATCGAGTGCTGGCGTAGCATGTGGCACTAATCGCGTTACAATGGTAGTAGTACTACCATGATAAAACAGGATAGCATTCAAGCACTCAGGGCAGTGCCGCAGGGGGTAGGAAGTTATCTGCCACTGATAAAACTCAAGGTTCTCTCAGGCGGGAGCGCGTCCTTGATCACAGCAAGAACTGGTTATCATGCCCTGTGTTTCGGACGACCCGAGTCAGGTTCCTTGTCCCCAATTACCCCGGTGAGCGTGGTCAAAGGCCGCGACGTTGCAATGCGAATTCTTGAAGCCCCACTCGTTCCCTTGTTTAGAGGCACGGCGAGTGATAGAAAACCGTGATTCACCCCCGGGGTACCGGGGGTTGAAATACCGTGAACTCTAATTACCCTCCCTTCGGGTTCCGGTTCCTGAAGTGGGCAGAGCTACGAGCAGAACATTTGCCTATGATTTTCCGTTTGCCGCCGAACGAGATGAGTCTCAGTGATTTAGACTCTTGCAACTTGGGATGATCGATAGTCAAAATGACATTGGTTCCGGAACCATGGCTATAGGGTTGGACGTTCGTAATGGTTTGGTCACAGAAACAGGCAAGCATTTTCAACTAACATAATTGAAGGCACCAGTACCAGAGAAAATTCTTTCCGCGATCCGCGGGTTCTTGCGGTTTATACCGTTTGGTAAAACATCTCTGGTAATTAATAGCGTCGTTGTGTAAGCAGAGGTACGCAGTATGTATCTCGTAATGATCCCCCTTTTCACCCCTGGCATGGCGCACGCACCTTGATACCTGCACAGCTGCAGCCTGCATTACCCCCACGGAATAACTCGAAAGCTTTTGGGGGACCATGCATTGGTGCGTCGTAAGGGAAGAACTTATGAAACTTTATCGGCTGGCTTGCGTTGTTATTGCACAGATGATGTGTGGAAAGAAGCCAGACGAACTGACACTGCAAGCACTCCTTGCTTGGATCGCAACAGAGCTCAGGTGGTCATTCCCGTAGCTCTCTCAATTTTGAACGGTTACCGCGATGATATATGATACCGATAAGCGCGATCCCGGCATGTGGTATTGCCCTCCTCCCACAGCCGTCGTTCTTTTGAACATTTGAAAAGCTGCTTCATTCATGGCAGGCCTGATTCAAGTCAGGGAAGCATAGCTGCCAACAGAGATAATGAGGAGCAGACCCTGATACGAAGGACTTCCGAGCGGCAATCTTCTCTATCTTCCCGATACTGGCTCAGCTATCCAGCTGTTGCCCCATTCTCACTTGGTTGGTGCAAGTCGTCACTTCGGAGATTAGGGCATGGGTGTTTGACATGCTGGCTTAGATCTTGCATCAGCAGCGGTGAATAAAACTCATCCGATCGGGGGCGAGTTGATCCGGACGCAATTTCAAATACTCCCTGTGACTTTGGGTTAACTTACCTAATGCCCCTGAGGATTAGGCACTTTGTAGAATTCCAACCCTACTTTTGTTTAACAATCTGAAGAAAGCCAGCCACTGGTACGCGATATGTCAATAAGTCATACAAAGAGTTGGGAGCGAAGGACCTCTGTTGGTATGTCCATCGTGTTTATGCTACACGTGGGAATACGATAGCATTCAGCGCAAGCCCTCAATGTGCCATTTTCGCGTGCTAATGAGGATTTAGTGCATGAGTATAGGTAAGAAGACCGAGTTCTATGTATCAATCAAGATTCAAGATAACTTCGTAAGTGGATCCTGCCTGGGTCATACGAGGGGGCGAAAGCCCTTCTACAGTGCAACCTAATTTTGCCCCTCAGCTCTTTTGAGTCTGGAAGGGCATAGAGACTGGCGGACCTGGCCTCAGATTCACCGCGAAAGCCATTACTTATTACATGCTAAAATGAGAGAAGCAATCCATGACATCTACGCAAATGACCACTATGATCTGGCCGTTTCCGAGCACTATGAGCAGGCTCTTGGTCTTTCAGGGATGAGTTATCCTGCTCCTACAGATGTTTGAAGGTCCCAAGCAGGAAGACGATGCTCAAGCTTTTTGGCTTGCAAGCCCAAACACACTGTCCGTGACGATATCTCGGCGTTCAATGCACCTATAATCAAGACTTGGGCTCTTGGGAGCTCATTACCTCTGCACCGGCCATTTTGTGTGGATACCAGACGGGGCTTTGAAAGTGGGCTGAGGATAGGGTACTTGGATCGGCTCGTCGGAACGGACCCAATTTATTTAATTGTCTGAAGATGGTATGAGCAAATCCCTACATGGCATCTTGCCTTTGACCACTTAGCCACCTAGGTACTTGTATGAAATCCCCATAATGAGGGGTTTCAATTGCAAGCCAGTGTTGCGCCTGCAACGTTTTCCAAGGGTCAATTGGGTCGGCGCACGTTGCAGGATAAGAGTCGGGCTGTTGTTGCTAGAACACATGATAATTCGCACCTGAGCATCATTGTCCAACTCCACCTCCAGTGGATCGCGGCGTTGTGGCAGAGTGGTCTAATGCGCAAGACTAGAAATCTTGTTCCTTCGGGAGCGTCTGTTCGAATCAGGCCAACGTCGAACTATACGTTATTGTATTTTTTGAGGATGACGATATCGAGAAAGTGAATGTGGGCTTGCTTGGGCGGCAACGTGTCATGCCGTGACGCCTCTACTGCTTTTTGTTGCCGTCTTGCTCTCTTTTCAAGTTTTCATTTGACAGGCTCGCTTCATTTCAGAAAGCTGTAGAGTGTCTTGTGCCTCTGGGCTACGAGTACTCAAATTATGGAAAAGTGTATTACTGCCATGCGTTAGAAGTTGCGCAGCAAAGTTGTCTGACAGTCGGCAATAACTTCCAATCATAAGGTAGCAAAGGACAATCAAAAACTGCAAAAAGCATACGAGAAGCTAATGCTTGCTCTTTTGACTATGATCCTATCAAACCGCCCATCCACACGATCCACACGATCGTAATACATGTCTTCAAACTCGAGCCCCCTTGTACCTATTGTGACCCAAAACGTCAATTCAGGAAATTGGTGGCTTTTGTCCGTACACCACATGGCTAGGCGATCAATGATCAGTGTCCGAGCAATCGCGCAAGATACCGGCAAGACCTACATATCATACAGGCCATGATAAGCGCCAGTCTTCATTTCATTCCGCACATTCGCAACTTCTACCAGAACCTGCTCCTTGGTCCGCTTGAGAGCACCACAGAACACCCGTAAGGTGAAGCCTTCCAAGCCATCTAGCATTTGTGCTAGGTTGATGAGCCCAAGGTCTTTGTACCATGGATCTTTTGGCCACGGGCCTAGTGGATTTTTGATTTTCTGATGGAAGACGTTCTCGAACCTTTGTTCCCGGACCCAGCCTTCGAGCTTAGGACCCGGGCAAGGATCAATGCCCAGGTTCTCCATGGTTTCCAAAAAGGTCTGATTCCAGTCCCAGGTTACGTGATTTTCCGTGTACGAACCGTCGTCGGAATAGATCTCGGCGTTCATTTCGTGAAATTCAGCCCAGCCTCCTGGGTTCAGATGACTGTATGTTTCAATTAGACTTTTGATTCAACTCCGTAAATGTGTCTCTCACATAATTGATGTTTGAAGGAGCTTGTGAAGGAATGAATCGACCACGCAGTTGCTTCATAGACATGGAAATACGACATACTTGTACACGTTCTCTATCAATTTGGGCCAGTCACGGATAGATGCTGCTAAAAACCTTGTGAAGATGAAGTCATACTTCTTTACTTCGACCCAGGGACTTTCGACGTCGTCAACTTAAAACTTAACATTCTCGGGAACCCTAAATAGTAAGTCACAAATGAGAGGGTTAATAACATCCATTTACATCATGGGGACTTTTTGTAGACTTGCCATGTTGGTTGAATGGCGCTCAGGTCAACTCCAATTATCTCTGCGTTTTCGAACAGATCACCCATTTCAATGGCCCCTATCAATTTGTCACTTATTAGTTTCTATTCCAAAATCCCATAGTCAGAGACAGAAAGACAATACGGTTCACTCACATATTCCTGTGCCGGTCCCGACATCGAGAACAGCATGGATCTTGCTTCTCTCGAGGGGCGCGAGGAAAAGTCTATTGCCAATAGCTCTTGTCATCATCGAATGGCACATGTCCATCCTCTCCATCTCTGGCTCATCATTCGGCATGATATACGCTGTTCCTTTGGATGAGACCAACACAGATGGGGGCTAGGATCCAGAACGAACTCACTCCCAGATCGGAAAGCATGGTACCGTCGGCCGTATTCAACCGGGTAGTCCAGAACGCTGGAAGTTAGGGAAACAGAGTATTTTAAGCTATGAAGCGCGAAGTTGTTAAGCTTGATCTGATAAACTTAATATGGAGGCATACGGACATTTGCTCGTCAATGCTTAACACATCTTTGGACTGTATTTCTTTCAGCAAGGCGCCGGGGAGCTGGAAACCGCAGGTCTGCACGAACTCACAGATTCGCTTTCGAGCGGCACATCGCTGCCTGCTGCTGAAGGGAGTGCAGGTATGCCGTGATCTGTGCACCAATAACCTGTGCCTTCCATCTCGAGAAGTGACAAGGATGTCTGCAATGCGGGAAAATGGTGGCAAAGTCTGGTTGAAGATGTTGACCTGGGGATTTCCTAAGACTCGCAGAAAAAATGTGCCGCACTCTTGGTTTTGTAGGATTTCTCCACTTTCCAGCCTGCCTTCCTTGTTGGAGGTGGGCTTGGTCGGTTAGAACCAACGCGAAGTGTAGTCTTTGTTGGTTCAGTTCCTCCGAATGCGCCAGCTTGGGGGTACCTATTTGCGAGTCTCATTTCAAGCTTTTGATTCGCCATCATCGGCGCTTATCTTCTCTCTGTTGTTTGCTTCGAGCATGCACCCATGGCCATAGCAGGCATCAGACATCAACCCAACCGCGGCAGCAATCAAATCTACAACTCACTTCATTGCGATGTAAGAATTTTCTTTCCGTAAGGGTGATTGTATTCATCGCCAAACTTCGCAGGAAAAGAGTTATGTTGGTTTGAAAACATGTGGAAATCACCATTGACTGTCCATCTTCGACTATCAAATCGTTCTAACTGCTTTAGAACTTCGCCGTTGACAAGCGCTCGAATCTTTCTGCTACCTTGAAGATAGTTTGAGTTTATACCAGCACTACCGTATCACTTCGATTCAACCCAACCAACCACTGACTCAAGGCAGTGGTGCGGCAACGACTTGCTCGCCAGAGACTTCTTCCTCCGTAGGCTTCCGTCCATAGACCACGTGTCTAGGGAAATGGTGTTAGTCAGAGCCTGCCGAAAAGAAAGATCTAACTCACAGTCTTAGATATGTCTGAAGCTTGAGATCCCTCAAAGCCTTCCGCATTTCGCTGATGAACACAAGAATTTCCGCATCTTCCCATCCCATAATTTGTCGCAGCAAGAAGAACCCAAATCCTTCGAGTGACTGGTCGAGATATTCCAGATTGACGGCGCCACATTCTTTCAACTTAGGGTCTGATGCCCAGCCGCCGATTGGGAAAGGCCAGCTCTTTTCCACGACATCAACAAACCCGGCATCCCGCAGGGCGTTTGCAACGCCGTGGTTCCTGGTCTGCTTTGCGGTCTTGCCCAGTCTATCAGTGGCCTCGAAGATAGTCTTCGCCCACCTCCTATAAATGTGGTCTTGCGGCAGATCATCCCTTAGAGCTTGAGAGTGATCTTCAATATCCCATTCATTTAGTTCAATGTATCCACCAGGTACGAGGTGATCGAATGATTGCTTGTACAACCTTGGCCAGTCAGAAACAGCCGCTTCCATGTGACGGATATGAACGTAATTGAAGTGTTCTCGAGGCCAGGTCCACGGCTCCTCGATGTCGTCGATTTGGAATTTGCAGTTTGGCGGAACCCAACCAGGTTGGATAGGTGATATGTCAACTCCAATGACATCGGCTGAAGGAAACTCATCCGCAAAATCGCTGTAGTCGACCAGTCAGTCATTCCCTTTGATTACCGCCCCTCTCCCGATATAAGTCATCGTAATTGAAACGCGTCATGTAACTTACATTGCCCAGATTCCAGTGCCTGTTCCAACGTCTAGGACTCTCTGGCAGGCGTATGCGTCAGAAATCGGCGGCAGAAGTAATATGCTCATCGCAGAAACCTACATGAGGAGTTTTACCGATGGGTGCTAAGAAAAGCTTATCGTCGAAAAACAAAAGTTCCAGATAGTGTCTTTCGCATTGATGTTAGAAACGTGCGAAATTAAGAACCATCACCGCCTCGCAGAGACAGTCTTAGAGCGCAGCGTATTGTAGCCTGTTGAGGGCACTTACGCAAGATCGAGCCCTTCATTCTGCTTCTCATCATTTGGCCCCCAATAGTCGGTTTTCTGGGTATATGTGCGCCCTAGAATGCGACGATATTCCGTGATACTCTCGCTAATTGAAGCAGTTGAGGCGGTACGAATACTGTAATGATTAAAGTTTCAGTGGCCGAATAGACTACTTGACAGAAACTCTTTCGACTTACCTCTCCGTCTCAGCTTCAGTCAAGTCCTCATTTTCGAAGACAGGGTCCTTAGGCAAGACCGGGTCAGCGCAATTCTTATTCTCTACACCCTGGAGGATATCCAATAATACCACATTTTGGGCACTTGGAGACTTACGGCAGCTATGGCACCTGAGCCGGGCTCGTTGGTGCTCCTTGGGGATGAGCTTGTCGAACCAGCTGCCCTCGGAGATGGGCTCTCCGGCGATGGAATCGCTGTTCCAGCTGTTGCATCCGGGGTCGAGACCATATTGAGTGTTTTGAAGGATCTCTGACTTGTAAGCAATTGAAAAATCAGGCAGATGAGTCATGAAAATTAGAGAAAGATTCTGTCGCCGTTTGGATCACCGGTATTTGTATGGGCTAATTGACCCCTCTTTTGCAATGCACTGATTTCTCTGTTGGTTCTATCCAACGCGCGTCCGTTTCTGCACACCAGGGGTTGATTCGCCAAGGGTCGAAGCGAAAGTTCGCTTCCCCGGGCGAATCAGAATGGGAAGTTCTCTATATTTGATGCATATTCTAGGCTCCTTGTGGAAGGTCTCTGACGCGCTGGCGGTACAACGATGGGGCCTCAATTGGTTTCGATGTGTGCCATTTCAGAGTGGAAACATGCGCCGAACTCATCTGAATGACTAAGTATTTCTCTTTGATCTAATTCTCTAGAAACCCCAGCGCTTGCTTAGCAGTGGCTCTTGACTATCTCTGAGAGAATTGTTAACTTAAGTAGTCAGTAGATATTCACGAAGAAGTATGCTAGATAGGCCATTATTCCTGTGAAAGTTCTCAGACAGACTCGGTAAATTACCATTGGCACATTAAAGACCTCATATTTAGCACATGGCGGCATTTCTATATGTTTGAATTGTACTGGGCGGGCCGTAAGTCTATATACAGGTAAAGAAGAATACGAGCAACCACACGTAATAGATCCAAATCCAACGAAGTATCAGTAGCCGACGTTAATCGATTCAAAGGCGTGGTTGGTAGTCTCCGCAAGGTCTTGTCGATGACATAAACCATTACTCAATCTTACTCTTGAAACATTCTCAAGATCGTGGGCATTTTACCATGGTCCGCTCAGTAAGAATGTTCGACGACGACGAGTCTTAGCTCTGCCCGCCAAGTGCTACCTGGACTTTTTAGTGGATTCGGTACCACGGAGGCACTAATCCCCGTCTTTTGTGACTGGGGGTTTGAGCCCACTTCTGTCACTAACGATGGCACAAAGTAAGGTATATTGGCTCATTGTTTTGCGCGACAATTTGCATGAGAGCCTGCACCATTTTGTAGCAACCGTGGTCCCCAGTTTCACGTCATGTATTAGAAGTAGAAGCTGTTTAGATCTTTTGTTTCATACATCTTCTCAGACATAGAAGGCTAGCCAAGTAATAGATGTGGCAGTTTACTTGCATAGCTCAAATCAACTTGCGTACGCAGACAGTAAGCAATAACCCGCGCGGGAAAAGTGTTCGTAGTACTCATCCGGCAATATCTTTGCCCAGACTAAGCTACGAAGAAGCGACTATATCGAGGGCAATGAAGAAACTGAACTATCATAAGCCTGTATAGTATTGATTTTGATAAATCTTTATAATCTAGCTAAACTTCAACCGTTGCCTCCTGACTGTTGCCTTCCGAGAGGGAGGTGTCTAAAATCGCTCACTCTTCACCTTCGACAGCCTTCTCAGGTTTCTTTGCATAAACAACGTGACTGGTGTTTACCAATTGACGTCAGCTGTAATTACACGGTAGATAAGAAGTAAAAGTTGATCGTAAAGAGATGAGAGGAAGAATAAAGCACAACGTACAGCTTGATGTAAGATTGGAGCTTCAGGTCTCTGATGGCCTTTCGCATTTCGCTCATGAAAACCAGGATCTCCGCATATTCCCAGCCCATCACCTCTTTGAGCAGGAAGGTACCGAAGCCCTCGAGGGATTGATCGAGATATTGGAGGTGACACGCGCCCACTTCCTTGAGAGTCGAATCCCTCGGCCAAGCTCCAACAGGTGCCGCCCATTGCTGTTCAACGACGTCGACGAATCCGGCCTCCTCAAGACCCCTAGCAATACCATGATTGCGGCTCTGAGTTCCCGTCTTTCCCAGCCGGTCCATGGCCTCTAGCATAACCTTGCCCCACCTTTTGTAGACGTGACCATCGTCCAAGTCAACGAGCACCTGAGAGCATAGCTCAACGTCTATCTCCTTGACCTCGATGTAGCCTCCTGCCTTCATGTGGACATACGATTGATTGTAGAGCTTCGGCCAATCTGCTACGCTTCCCTCGAGGTGTTTGATGTGAACAAAGTCAAAACGATCAATGGGCCATGTCCACGACTCTTCGATATCATCGATTTGAAACTTGCAATTGGGCGGTACCCATCCTGGCTGAATGGGCGAAATATCAACACCGATAACCTCAGCAGATGGATACTCGTCCGCAAAGTCTCTACGTATCGCTGTTAACACTCTTGAGCACAGACTTGAGGTTTATCGGCCAGCACATACATCGCCCAAATGCCGGTTCCTGTGCCGACATCAAGGACATTCTCGAACAATGTCAGAATTGTTATTCTGCAGTTCAGTGTCATGGGTAAGACGACTGCTTACCGATGGGCCGTCAGCGAAAGGCGCGAGAAATAACTTATCACCTAGAAGAAGAGTCTCCCAATAGTGGCTGCGTGATATATCAGGTCAGTGCTGGGTGTGGCAAAGTAACATTTAGAGGTCAATCCTGTACGCAATGTCGAGCCCTTCATTCTGTCTTTCGTCATTCGGTCCCCAGTAATCGGTCTTTTGGGTGTAAGTGCGTCCGTGAATTCGGCGATACTCGGTGATACTTTCACTCAAAGATGCAGTGGAAGAGGTGTGAATACTGCATGTCGAGTCGTTCAGTAATGACAACTTCCGAATCCTGATTCCTCTTTCATCTCAAGCTCACCTCTCGATCTCCGCATCTGTTGTTTCCTCATCCTCAACGACTGGATCCTTCAGTAGAACAGTGACTATTAGCCCACGGCTGCGCAACGTGATGGAAGAACACCCGGTCGTAACTTACAACAGGTATCGCAGTCGCGGTAGGCTCGGAATTACCCACAGAGGGCAGACTAGAGGCCGCCGCGCCTTGTGGAGATGCAGCCATGAAATGGACTTCCTCGATGGCTCAGACAGACTGAAAAACTGTAGAATGAAGGCCTAAGAAGAGGTCGTGATGTCTAGTTTTGACGACTGGACAGACCACACAAGCCATTGATGTTGGAAGGATGAAATAACAACGACCCCTCATTTGCATTTCTTCTTCTCGTTGGTTCAACGTTTTCCGAACCGCCAAGCATCGGAGCGAGAGTCCACGTCCCCGGACGAATGAAAGCAGCCTGATTTCCTCATGTTGGTTGTGGATTCTAGGCCAATTCCGGAAGGTCGAGAGTGCCAAAGCCGCCTGGGCACAGCCCCTGATACTTTGAGAGAACAACTACACAAGGATGCAATGGTGTCCTCTTCACGTCGCCATAGGAAACTTGGGGCACTGCGCACTCAAAGGAAGCTATGGACAAAGAATCGATGAGAACGTTGTCCCGAGTACGGATCGAGCCGAATCAACGGAAAGACTAAGTGAGATGCTAGCCAATTAGGAGCCAATAATCTACCTCTCTAACTCCATATCCTAGATTGCCATTGTGACTCTGAAAAGCGCTGGGGTAGAAGGGGGAGGGAGGGGCAAAGGTTCCGGGCATAACAGCTTTTTCGAGCCATGTTGATTAGTTATGCTTGTGAGATGTGGGCTTCAATCTTGGCAATGGAAGATTGATGACAGACACAAAGATGCACGAAACTGTTGGCACCATTGAAACAAGCCGTTCTGTGCAGCCTCTGCCATCTCGTAAAGCTGCCGGTCTGGCCAAGATAGGACGGATGTTCCCAACACAGGCCGATGCTCGGAACGTGATCAGGCCCTCCGTCCGAAGGCCTATCTTTCCTCAAAAGCCAAGAACAGTTGTTTATCTGCTGTAGATCTACACGTGGAGATGTCTCCTACTCTCCGCAAAATATGACGTTCTGAGGTCATCACAGCTGCTCAAGAGTCGATTTGAGTCATGAAGATCCTTATTCACACAGTGACCTGATTCTGTCAGGAGTAATTTTCTAGAGTCTATTCTCGAGAGACCAGACCATCAAACAAATAAGACAACGCGAAACAAACAATGAAGCTTGGCCGGATGATCCCCCACCAGCCGTTGAATCGCGGTATCGGTCTCTTTCCCGCTGAGAAACGCAGTGGTGCCGGACGGACGATTTGGAACGAACTCTTTTTTAGGCCCCATTGCCTGCCACTAATGACGACAATGCAAAACCCTGACTCGCATGTACCACTGAAACTTCTGCACCCTCGTGCTGATCTCGATTGGAGTGACGCACGTTCCTGCGGACTAAAAGTCTATTTTGTGTGGGTGAGTGAGGGGTCCCATTACCTGAAAAGAGTTGAATCCAAATGTCTGTGTTTTCGGGCCGGTCATGTTAGAGGTGAGAAGGAAGAGCACAGAACAGAAGCACACCGCTCCCAAGGCTTAGGCGAAGCTATGATTGGAATCACTCGCGGCTACGGTATATGCCGCTGCTAGTTGCATACTAGTAGCCGCGGCTGCGTAGGAATCGAGGACTAGCTTGAGGCCGGTCGCCCCGGCTTCTAGTCCGATCATCGCACCGTCAGACAGTCCACGGCCTTTGCCTCCGCGCCATTACCAATTTAAAGACCGTGCCTTGTTCTCTATGGCAGTCTCCATGTGTGGCCCAGGGGCCCCTGGTGTAACTGCCCGGAGATCATCGCTACCACCCTCGAACTCGCGACGGCGTGGCAAACCCCCAGAGTGGGAGCCGGCAACCGGCTGCCCGGCCAGAGGGAGCATCTCTGCTGCAGTGAGCTTTCAAATGCCGACTCCCTGCGCAAACAGGCGACTCTACGACGAACTCTGGTCTGGCAAACCGGGTCCAACGGATGGAGAAGTAAAGGGTCGGACAAGTTGACGCCTGCAGGGTCCAAAGGTCAAGAATTCTGGCCCCAGCGTCTGACGTTCCCGAGTCGGGGTTAGGACATGTTGGCTATCCCAAGCACTTGTGTTGCGCTGCCCTCCACCCAACCTTCAAAACAATCCTTCCCCCGTGCTGCCACTCACCGTTGCATGCATTAGCTTCCTACTTGCCCGCCATCGCGACTAGTGCGGTTGGTGAAGTTCCGACGAGAGCAGCGGTCAATGGGTCACTTTCCTCATATTGGCTGCCCTGCCCCAACATTTTGCCAAAAAAGCTTGTCAATTTTCTCCTCCACCTCTCGATCACACCCCTACCGCCGGGGATGAAGGTGGAACAGCAACACCAGAGAATCCACCGTGACCGTCGACGTCCGATGAAAAACGACACATAGCATTACGATGGCGGGAACACTTATACCCCCGTGGTATGTCGGCTCGACACCAACAAACGATGAACAGAACATAGCGAGCATGTTTTGGGGGTTCACGCTTGGAGTCGGCCTATGGAGCGGAGTCAAGGGTTATCGACAAAGTAGAGCCAGTTGGAACAGGACACACAGGGTCAACATCTACATATGGTTGATCTGGGCGGAATGGATCGCCAGTATAGTCATCGGCATCATATCCTGGTGCTATCTGACATCCATCATTGATCCAAGGTAGGCTTCTCTCCCTCTTCTGAGTAATCCCAGTATCTAATTTCGAGTAGCTTTGAATACTTCTTTTTCCTACGTAAGTATCGTAGGGCTTCAATTCGCATACTTTTTTAAACACTAACGCCAACCGGTTGAAGTCGTATTGTGGACGATCCAGGTAAATTTCCAGCAGGTTTTTTTTCATGATTTATATTGGACATTAGCTGATCAGTGCTTCATCAGGTACAATGTCTCATGCAAATCATCGTCAACCGAATCGCAATTTTGATGCCGATACCTGCACAAGCCACACGATTGAAGTGGGGAGTCTTTGGCATCCTCTTGGCGGTCAACATCAGCGTCTTCTGTATCTGGATTCCAGCTCGTCTTCAGATCAACGAGACTTACATTCACATCAACGAGATCTGGGACAGGATAGAAAAGGGCATCTTTCTTCTTGTGGATGCTGGACTGAACCTTACCTTCATCTATCTGGTCAAGTCGCGGCTAATTGCTAGCGGCTTGACTAAGTACACGGCCCTATTCCGATTCAACCTGGCCATGATTGCAGTCTCAATGTCACTTGATGTAGGTTCGATCGCTTTCCGTCTGCACTTGACCTGGTGGCTTACCATTCACACTCTAGGTCATCCTCATTGGACTTATGTCCCTGCCGAATACTTTGATGTATGTGATGCTGACTCTTGTGGGCTCGTGCCATCGCTAACTGTCACAGCTATGCCCAGTTCCACCCGCTAGCCTATTTACTCAAACTACATATCGAAATGGGCATGGCAGATCTGATAGCAAAGGTCGTCAAGGCCTCAAACCCCATGCGCCCACACGCCGAAACGAGGAGAGACAGCAACGAAGGAGCGCCAGATGCGAACAAGAACTCATTATCGAAGTCGAGGTCCAGAAGATTCTCGATGCCCTACGTAGCTGGGAGGTGGATGTTGAGCTCGGAGAATGTACAACCCAAAAGAAACACCGTAGGGCCAGAACTCGAGCTCGGTATGCCGGCCAACACATTCTCAGGGAGGGCGGCAGAGCCAGAGACTACGCCACACCCTCGTTCTCTCTCTCGTCACATAACTGAACCGAATGGGATACCTGGGCTGGGTATGACGCCACAGTCAAGGACTAGTCGCCAGGATTCTAGTAGTACTGTGAGGGAGCAAGACCAGGATGTTGCGTGGTATGTTTAATTGAAGAGACCGGAATAATATGATACCCAGGGAGTCCAAGGAATCGAAAAGGCAGCAGTCACGCGGATAAAAGCATTTAGCGGAGTAGGAGTATTGTCACACAACTGTGAAAGCGATTTATCGTCATGAACAAAATTAATTTATGTAGAAAACTCAAGGCTTCTTAACGAGTACTCTTCACAAAGTGGTACGTGGAATGTTTATGTATACTTCGTTTTTCGTTCATGACCGGTCAAATGACTGGGACTTCTCCATCGCTGGCCCCCTAAACAGAAATCCAGAAGACGTGTGCCCCCCTTGCTCCTAGCAGGAACCTCCATCATCTACATCATCTGGCTTTCTTTTACATACGCGAAAACTTACTTCAGTTGGTAGATAAAAAGTCGAATTATAGGAGACGCTGGAAATACGTTTCGCGCTGGTGAAAATTCTCCTCACATCATTGCGAGTCGCGATGGGCACCCTGCAAGGCTTTCACTGCCAAAGCAGTAATGGCCCCTTCGCTTCCAATTAGGATCCCAGAAAACCCATACCGGTATAAGTATCCCATCCAGCTGCCATCACTTCTCTGCAAGTCCAGTAGGACCCTTCTATCCGTTGTGTTAATCAGGCGCATGTTGTTCGACGCAAGCAGACGAAGCCCGACACTTGACGCATCGTTTGTAGATCCCATGCGTTCTTTCAACCGCTGACAGAGTAGATCGCGCAAATTGTCAAGCTCACTGGCATTAGGATTCTTGGAACATAGTTCACTGAGATAGTAGAGTAGGAAGTCCGGCAGGTGGTAGTAGCGAGTTCCATGCTCGAAAGCGCCTGTGCGGAGCATATCCTCCATGAAGTGTAGCGCGGGCTGGAGTTGATTGCCTCGTCCACTTGCGTAGAAAACTCGCAGTACATTGGCTGAGATAAAAGGATCAAGCCTCGGCCGGCCTGGGTCGAAGTAACACTGCACAGAGTCAACTCTTAGTTGGTTTCAAAAGTACATCCAAGGGGAGCAACCTACATATGCTAGTCCATCTGGATTCAAAAATTGGAGAATATTATCCATGGCCTTCTGCTTGACATCGAAATCAACATCAAGCGTGAGGAGAGCGATAGAGGTAGTGTCGAGGTCCTCGGGAAAGACTTCCGTTGTCAGCACTGGAGGCCCGTAAGAAAAGCAGTTCCATTGGCCTGAAGGAGGATTGTGTTGGGCGATATCGACAAGTCCCCTAAGAAACGTAAAGTAGTCAGTATTTCAGGCGAACTTATTGTCCGGGGTGGCTCCGTACCATTCGTTCGTCCAATTCAATAAAAGAAGCTGCTGGAACTGCTCCCGAATCTCAATGCCAGTGTTGGATATACACCACATGTCCTTTGCGTGAGCTCGAAGCCAAGATTTACCACGCTCAATGGGATCACCAAAAAGGCTGTTCAGCTTCTGGATTACTCTGTCCGTATTGTCAAATAAGACTCCTTGCATCCCGCGACATTGGGCGCAGATGACATTCTCCGGTCGGTCGTCAACAAACACAGTTGATTTCGCATTCAAGCCTGCATCTTCGAGAGCTCGATCAAAGAAACCTTGCTCCGGCTTTCGTACACCCAGGCTGGCTGACGTGTAGACATCATCAAAGATGTCCCAGCCTCCAATCTTGGAGTGAACTATGTTGTAGCTTTCGGTAGACATATTGGTTGCAGCAATCACGCGAAGTTGGCCGTTGGAGTTCTCTTTGAGATTTCTGACGGCTGCAACAAAGTCTTCGTTGAGTGTCAAGGTTGACGATGCCAGCTGGATGGTTTGTTGTAAGGCACCCTCCGCAAGGGCGAACCTCTTCGTCAAGGCCCCGAACACCTCTGATTGTGTCGCCTTACCTGCCTCCAAGCTGTGCCATTCGGATGATTCAAGGACGCGCTTGAACACCTTTCCTGGAATTGGAGCGTCTGGGACGGCGGAGAAGTTGCAGAAAACTCCGCCAATGTCCAGTATCAACGCGGTAGGTCTTTCATTCACACTACCCTGCCGGCACAATGAATACGAAATTAGCGCGCTACTCTTAAGATATCCCGCCATGTTTCGCATTTTCGCCATACCTCGAGTGCGCCGTGATGGCTCTGAAAAATTGGGGTGGGCGATGAGTGATGCAACTTAGCCATAGTAAGAAGTATCACGAAAAGAGGAAGCGCTTGGTAAAGGAAATCTGGTGTTCTCGAGAAAGACGAGAGGGTTCCAAAAAAAAAAGCAGACCTACGTAGGCAGCAGTATCATTGAAGTATATGTATTCTTTGCCGCAAATTGCCCACTGTGAAGATCAAACATTGCGACTTCGGACGAGGCAATTTTCGACCTTCCGCATCGTGTCGGGATCAGACAATTGATTGAGATGATCCAGGTTACTTCGAACATTTGGAGGATCTTGCCAAAAGGTCCTGCATAGCTTCCTTCAATGAACCCCTGTCAAAGGCTCGTCTTTAAGCTGACGAGACACGACGAGCGATCTTCGCTCAACCGCTGCGCCAAGTCGAAGATCTAACGTAAGCGTAGGTTGAATCCTACGTGAACTCTGACATGATGTGGGTACAAAACACAACGGTCTGTCTTCCCCCATTTCATTAGTTGAAGATACGAGGAATACGGAACTATTCCAGACAGCCATGCTGCACCTATTACAAGGGGCCAATGGATAATGCCATTTTGAGTGATTAGCAATATGCTACACAGATTTTCATCACACAGCTTACCTGTTTATAGACAAGATTGACTTTCAGGATGTATCGGAGAGGCTGGCAGTTGGCCAGGTGGAGTTCATAAAGCAGACCATTGCTTACTCGATATCGGACGATCATGCGTTGCGCGCTCTCTTCCAGCTGGAACATCTCAGAAAACAACCTGTTAGATTTCCAGGTAAAACGCACGGAGCAAATGGTTTAGTCAATGACAAAAGAAAGTTCACCTCAGTTCGGGCACACAATAATCCATGCCGTATATCTGTTTGATTGGTAAGTATAAAGCAAGTAAATACATCGAAACATTAAATTACAATCGGCCTTATATAATCTCTCCTTATCTAGACCTCGGAAAAGGAAATATTTCGAGTAAAGGCGGCTTAGCAGAAGCGCAGCGTCAGATTCTCTGCTAGAACTGAGATTCTTGTAACAAGAGCTTCGGGGAAAAAGGGGAGAAGCAGCTAGTCCTCCAAGGCCAAGGGAAAGAATATAGTGTCTCCAGGTTCTCACTGTCTCACGGCTAACATGATGGCTTTATCTTCGTAGCAGACATAGTACTTCAGTGACGTAGTCACTTGGTCAGGTTTCAAGCTGAATTCGTCATTTGAAATACCGAGGACATAGGCTGAATTAGGAGCAGCGGCCTTCCCCGTTTGTCCAAAGTGCAGGTAGGTTGCACCTAGGTGTGTTGTGTGCATGCCCATTTAACTCGTAAATTCTCTCTTAGGAAGCAATCAAAGTAAAATAATGTAGCAAGACTTTACCCCTATGGTCTCTCAGCTTGTAAGAAGTCGGTCACATCGGCTAATGGTTCCCAACTCTGGTCATCAAACTCTGCAATGCCCTCTTCCCTAGTCAACCAGCTGCGCGACATGCTGAATTGTGACCCCTCGAGAAAGGATTGGGTGTCATGGCCTGCTAATGGCCCAGCCATCTCAAGGCCAGTGAGAAAGTTGTAATCATCAACAGACTCTTGTGCCACAGGCATTCCATATGCCAAGGCACTTTCGCCTACATGGGCAAGATCGACTGTTTGTTGGTCCTGCTCACTCGTGTCATAGCTTTGAGTTTTGGCACCTGATTCTGAAGTTGGGGTTCTCTCTGGAGCTGATGACGCCTCGTAACGATCACGATTCGACCGAGATAGACTCGCCGCGATCTGCACCCGGCAAGACGCCAGCAGCTCTTCCACAACAGATTCCAATGTCTCGGCCAGGAAGCTCTCAAGCTCCCCTTCGTCGTCTGAAACGTTTGGCTCTGGTATGAGCCCTCGCGCCCACAGAGCATCGGATACCAGAGCCTTTCCGTTCGCATCCCAGAAGTCGTGGATCATGACCATAGACTCCTCGATCTGGTTTCCCAAGTATGCTGACTCTGGACGTGGTACATCAGGGAACACAATATCCCACACACTGAACCATTGCTGTTCCTCAGATAATCGTCTGTCTACCTTCCGAGTGAGCTGTCGGCTTTGATCTTCAGATATCCCCTCATAGTTGACCTGATCTTGTAGAAAGCAACCGCGCTGTGAAATGTGGATGTCGCGGTCCGTTGGCTTGTCGAAGATCATCCAGCATGTTGGACAGTAATACGACGGTTGGCGATGATTTCGATTGAGGTGCTGTTTGACGTCTTTGATCCTTTTGAGTTCGATTCTGAGGCACTGAAGATGCTTCAAAGGATCCTCCTTGTAGAAGGGGCAAGCAAGAATGATGCTTCTGCTCTTGTTGGACGGATTCATTGTCGAGCCGCTCACAATATTTGCGTTAGAATCTTCACCCGCCTCATTTCCTCCATTACCCTCATTGTCGTTCTCGTCGTTCGACTTCTCGTGTTTCCTAGATCTCTTGCTTGATTGCTGAGTTTGTGTTGCCGGAGGGTTTGCTGCTCGCTTGTTCGATTTCTGGGGACAGGTTTGCCATTCGAAGAAGTTGCTAAGACAGTCTTCTACTAGCAGCTTTTTGATCGACCGAAACCGATGGTCTGACGGCAATGCATAGATAGGCGCTACTTCTGAGGTTTCAGAAGGCGATGAGCTCTTGTCTTCACTTTCATCGGCGATCGGTGAAAAGGAAAGCTCCTGATCAGCATGTCGCAGTAGAAAGATGTCGGGAAATTGGGGTGGTTTAGAGGGAGATGAGTACATGCGTGCTACGTCTGAGAATGGACTGGAGCGTGACAGGAACTCGTTCTCGTACTTGCTGGATGAAGGTGTCTCTGCCGGAGTAGGTCGTCCCTCATCACATGCTCTCCTTTCCAGATCCTCAAGCCTTCTCTTCAGCTTCTTTCCTAAT